GGCACGAGGAGCCTGAATAAGTGTTTTGCGAGCACTGTCCCACGAGTAGCGAACGCTGTCGACTATCAAGGAATCGTATTGTAATCTGTATTTAGATGCCTGTTTACGGATATTAACCGAATGATCCCACAAGTTTTTGCGGATTTGCCGTATGCGTGCAGAAAAATCTTCGTTAATGTATATGCTGGTTCCTTTCAGCTTTCTGGCGTTCTTAAGAATTTCAAGCTTGGTTCTGAAGTCCAGTAGTTTAAAGATTACAGGGCGCCTCTTTTCACTTCCTCGCGTGCCGAGTCTGTGGCAGCGTTCAATGCCATCGCATTGAACTCCAATCTTGCAGGATAGCAAATTTGTCACAGAAACCAGCAACGTTTCGGAAGTTTCATTCGTTGGTTCATTCAGGCCATAAATGATCAAGTTATTCCTGCGGGATCGATTTTCAAGGTCATCATTTCTACGATCAAGTTTGTCGATTGTATCTTTGAGGTTTGCAACCGCTACTTCTAGTTCGTGAACACGTTGAATGGCATCATTTGCAGTTGCAGACAATGTTTCAATGTTTTCTAGACGCTGTTCAAAAGAAGTCATTCTTGAACTGAGCGTCGAAAGCTCATCACTAATTCGCTTCTGTCCGGTTATCAGTTCTGTGAGCATACTTTCTACCTTTTTATCTGGGCCGGGATTTAACTCAACATCGCCAGAGAGTTGCAACAAGATTCTCAGAGAATGCAGGAGACATGAAAATACACACACAAAGTGCTGAGGGTCTGGCAGCAGCAACAAGAAACGGTCATCGCTCCGATAACATTTAGAAGGATATATCGGACCTACCTGCAACAGGAAGCACACGTGTTTGAAAGAACCGTCAGCCATGCCGCTGCCAGACCCACTGAAGAGGATTGACCGTAGCGTCGGCTTTATATCATTTCGTGTCCGTGTCGATGACGTTCCAGTGCTGTGCCATGCGCACTCCGGTGAAGCAACAGCGAGGTCAGTCAGAAGAACAGTCGCATTGCCACCTGCCGGATAGCAGGCTTTACTGAAGGGAGGGCCATCAAAAGCAGAGTGGTTGAGAGGGAAACTTGAAGGTGAGACGGAGCTCAGAAAGTACGGGCCAGCGATGCTTGCGGCAATCTGCAACAGGAAGCACACGTGTTTGAAAGAACCGTCAGCCATGCCGCTGCCAGACCCACTGAAGAGGATTGACCGTAGCGTCGGCTTTATATCATTTCGTGTCCGTGTCGATGACGTTCCAGTGCTGTGCCATGCGCACTCCGGTGAAGCAACAGCGAGGTCAGTCAGAAGAACAGTCGCATTGCCACCTGCCGGATAGCAGGCTTTACTGAAGGGAGGGCCATCAAAAGCAGAGTGGTTGAGAGGGAAACTTGAAGGTGAGACGGAGCTCAGAAAGTACGGGCCAGCGATGCTTGCGGCAATCTGCAACAGGAAGCACACGTGTTTGAAAGAACCGTCAGCCATGCCGCTGCCAGACCCACTGCCAGACCTTTAGGCAACAGCATGACCAAAATAATTCAATATATCATTGATGGGTACTCCTAATTGTATGAAAGACCCCGTTATTGTGGATTCATGCTACAAGTGGGTGGTTGTTGATTGTGCTTTTAAACAAAATATAAGTGGACCAGAAAGCTGTCTTGGATGCCACATATGATGTGGCCACCAGTAAACTAATAATGTATCAATAGGTTCAGGCAGCATTTCATCGTATGAATTTGGGATACCCAAATATTCCTATAACAACTGTAATACATTCCTTCTCGAGATACTTGCTTCATGTAATGGCCTAATGAGCTTGTATATACTGAACTCTTCAAATGAGTGCTTTTTTCATAGCAATGATTGAAAATTAGTAAAGAAATATTGTTAGTGTAGCAAGGAGGTATGCCGCCCTGGAGCACTAATATAAATAGCAAGCGCCTATCTCAAGCTGTTTATGCCAAGACTATAATTGTTTTCCACCTCACTGCCTCCTATAGACAAATCCAAGAAAACAGTGATCAGGGGTTGCTTTAAAAGAACATTGAAAGGGTTTTAGAATTGAATCGAGCTTCGTGTTTAGGAATGACCAACATTATTGTCGATAATCTCAAAATTTCTTCACGGTTTTAGCAGCAAGAGCTTTAGAACGCAAAACAAAAGCTTATCTTGCTCCACCCCCGCGTGTGCACTGAAAGTGTGAGCGTGGAAACATACATAATCTTCGTTTTTCTCTGGCCCGGAGACATTCTTCCTTCTGGTGCAAGGTTCGGTCGCTCACAAGGAGTGTTTAGCCTGTGGTTTAGCTGCGCGTCGCTTACACTCAGCCCCAGGCAGATGTAGCGTCTCGAGACAGTTTATGTACGGTAGTGCAGGGGTCTTCATAGATTTTGCGTTCACTTTTCCGAACTCTCACATCGCTTTTCCGATTCAGCAGGGATCAAACTGTCCTTACATGCTCCTAAGTCACTTTTGTTCTTATAAAAAGTCTTTCAGCTTCTGTTTAAAGGATAAAACTGAAAAACCGGCCACTGAACCTTGCTCTAAATGTACCTGAACAAGCCACCTATAGAGGTATGGCTCAACCTCTATTGGTAGTAATGGCTCAACAATGTACCGTTGTCACGTTGTAACTACAATATAGTTACGATAAACCAAATTGCCCAAATCAAGCTCTTGTAGTTTGTTTAACTAATTTTTACTTTCAGCAATTTTTTGAGCAAAAAAAAACTGTTTAGATATAGACTTGGAGCAGAAACGACAGTGCTTTGCAAAAGTTTCGAGTAGGAACTTTTGCAAAGGAAAAGTAGGAAAACAGTCATTTGGAGCCCTGTAACAGTATATGTGAGACTATTCTCTGCAGATTATCATTACTGTGTGAACAAGAAATGTGGCTCTAACACACACATGAGAGAATACCAACAGTTGCCAGAACAGCATTTCACACAGAAAATACGTGTTCACTTCACCACTTTAAACAGGAAGCGATTTTGGGAAGGCATTAGCACCCAAAGCGAACATGGCGAGTATAGTTTTTGCATGTGACATGACTCTGCATATATGCTAAACGCATTATTCATGATGCAATGCTTGAAATGTGCATGAAAGACAGAGAAAAGAGTCGAGGGAGCTCTTTCTTCCATCTTTTTTTCATGTTTCAAGCATTGTGTAAGCAAGAGAATGCTAAAGGAGCATCAGCATCAACTTGCCTAGGAACAAGTTCTAAACTCTGTCTGCTTCGGTGAGAAAAATTTCATTGGTGAAAAAAGGGAGGTGCCCCGCCACGTTTTCCAAAAGCTCCCTCACCCTAGAATATGATAGAGCAAAATAGGTGTTTTTTCGTCCCGGAACAATAGTCATCATCCGGCTTCCTTGTACTTTTTTTTTTTTTTTGAAAACCCGGCGATGGCCACTTATTAAGAAAGCTATGTCACATTTATAACATGCATGTCTTTCCCGACTAGAAAGTGCCAGACGCGCGGCGATAGTGCAAAGAAAGGAACGCAAGATAGACGATCATTGTTGTGGGAGGAAAAGACGCCTTTTTTTACTCGACCGTTCCGTGGAATGCTAGGTTTTTCGAACCAGACAAGGAACTTATGCAGTAGGACTGCATAGTGCAGAACCAACTTTCCAAAAGCTTCCCTTTACTACCATTGTGGATGAAAAACACTCATTTGCTGTGTGAAAGGCCAAAACTGTGAACCTTTGCGCAGTTGGTGCAATTCAACTTGGCACAACGAGATGCATATAGGTTGGATTGTAGTGAAATGGTGCAGCTGGACTGCCATTGTATTGGTAATCATCTCCAACATGCTGTGCATACCCGATTGTTAGCAGAACAAGTCAAAAGAATGGTCAAAATTTGCTTCTAAAGGGTTGCGATTGAGTAGATTAAGAAGACTATCAAATGGAACAAGGTGCAGTTCTTTCTAATTGATATCGCAAACTTTTAGTTCTGTAAACACCAATCTAACTTGTTCTTTTGATGTGCTTTTGTTGTCACCTTGAATTTACAATGACACACTTCACACTTTTCAGTAAATGCTTGAACCTGACAAAAAAAGTTAACGAGTATCGTGGGCAGGCTTTTTCCACGAAATTACGGTGAAGGCGGCTATTTTACCAAGGCCAAATAGTCAAAAAAGGACGTTTTTTAGTGCCTTCAACAAGTGCCCCCCCCCCCCCCCCAATCCCTGAAAAATATTCCTGGCTACGGGCATCACGTCAAGGCACACCTGAATGCCAACTTTAAGAATCACTAGTTCTGCACTACACGTCAGTGTAGAAGTGGCGATAAGTCTAACAGCAAAAACAAACCTTCTTCACCCCTTTTACACGATTACAGCACATGTTTGGAGTAACACTATGGCTTGCGTAAATCAGTGCTAAAAAATTAATTCTTTACAAAATTACATACCAAAATAATTTCTAAGATTCTGCACCTCGACATGATTATGAGGCACCGAATCAATTTTGACATCATCGAGTTTTTATGTTTTTTTTTAATAAGCAGCTGTTCGTATATTCCCCCCCCCCCCTATAACGAAATGCCATCGCCGAGCCCGGAAATCGAACCCGTGTTCTTGAGCTTAGCAGCGAAACACAGCAGCTGTTAGGCTACAGGTTGTCACATTTTCTCGTTACGCAGAATAAAATGCTTAGTTTTTTCTTTGAGAACTGGTTCACCATGATTGCTTCTTTTCAGGTAGTGGCGGTAGCCAGCTCAAGTGCTCGTAATTACAGCAAAACTAATTACAGCAGGACTGATTACAGCAGGTGAAACAATTAGTAATACGCACAACTCATACCCTGTCACCAACGTTCTGTATCAAAAGCTTGACGTTTACAAACTACACACTCGTGCAGCTAACAACATTTCTGGCCTGCTCTCCCGCGCCGGATTCGCTACCTATGCAGTCACACCACATTTGAATCGTCGTTTAACATGTTAATTGTCAACGTGAACTAACAAACAAAACAATAAATACAACTTGTAGTCTCACTATTAAGCGCGGAATCAATTTTCTTGCAACCAGGGATGCTGTTACGGCGACGGACAGCGACGAAAACGCTTGTGCACCAAAAGCCACGCCGCACACTGGCAATATGACCAACCAAGCGAACGAAAACAACGCTGACACTGCGTTTAGCATAACAAATAATACAGCGGCTAGGCACATAGCGACTCCTCATTAGTTCAATAAGCCGCAACCTGCTTCTTTTACCAAATCTAAAACGAACCGCCACACTTATTGCAGGGTAGCTAACATTAGCGTTGGTCGTCCGCCAGACTTGGCGACTTTATGATTACGTTGATTACAGGTGGCGAATTCGCTTTTGGCATCGCTTTTAGGTATGATAGGTTTGTTAAGCATAATACGTACAGTCAGTCGAAAAAGTTTGCGGACCACGTGAGCAGATCTGCTGTTGAGGGCGCGAACGCGCCTAATCCACTGAATCTTTTGAGATTACACTTACTTAGCATCTTGGAGGACATGCTCTGATGCCTTTCACAACGACAGCGCCAGCGGCGACAAGGGAGGCACACGCCCATAGATTTAATATGGACATACCCATAAGACCAATGAGGACGAAAATTGTACGCGAATTATACGCGATTCTGGTGGCAGTTGTAAAAAGAATAAAAAAGTACTTCTTTTATTATCGTTTACACTTAAGTAATTTTTTTTTTCGAACAAATAATAACTCAGAATATTGTTTGTATAACTTGTAGATGCGTATAAAATGAAATAGCTGTTAAAAAGTCACAGCTCTGCCGCAAAGGCGAAGGAATGAACACGACAGCAACAAATTGGAAGATCACGCGCGGAATGGCAAGCAGATGGAAACGTGTGCCGCGTTTCTGACGTGATGCTACGTGACGGCTAAGATATCACTTGAAAAGATGACACGTAACAGATTTGCTCAATCACTCATGCAGCCCGAGCAACGTCCACACACGGAACTGCAGCATAGTACGTAAGATTCGCACAATCGTTACTGCATCACTAAATGCAAGACGGGAGGTGATAGTACGTGCTAGCGCCGATCGCATGTATAATGATGAAAAGCGTTCGCACAAACTTCGTATGCTTCTTGGTTCACGTAGAGTTGTCTTGTCGCGCACACCACCCTTTCAAAATACTATGTACGATCGTGGTCTCTGTCAGTCACGTCGAAAACGTGTCTGCTGCGGCATAATTTGTCTCCTTTCTCCTTGTTCGAGGCTCTAAAAGCCCTGCGCTCTTCACTTTCTTGAAGCTTGCGCGCTTTCTAACACCAGTAGCTATCGCGCGCACGGACGTCACTTAATAACTTAGTGGCCACTCGCAGCGCTGGTGGTGCACTAAGTACGTAGACAGTCTATGCAGGCAGCTTAGAAGACAGCACTGAGCTACCGAGCCCATGTTGTCCGAGAAATGGAATACGTTTGAACGGCTTTGACGACGACAACGACCGACGACGATGATGATGATGTGCCGTTCCTTTTATAACAGGTCGCCGCGTGTGTGGCGGCTTGGCAATAAAAAAGCATAAAAAACCCCAGCTAAGGAGGGAAAAGGGGGAGAAAATTGAACGATTAAGGAGGACGTGAGAGACGACCTACTCTTAAAAAAAAGGAGATAGAGAGAGTAGGGAGGGAGAAGTCTGTTCACTTCGCGACCCTCTGAAAAGATAACATTCTTCATCTTTCCAAGCGGCGCTTAAGTGCGCTCTACCGCTCCTCTGTTCATCTCCCCTTGTTCACCCTCGAAACCCAGTACGACATGCAACGGAGTGTCTCCTCTACATTGGGGTTTGATTTCATTGCACTGCACTACAATGTGTTAGATTGTTTCATCCGCCCACTCACAGACTCTACACTACACATCCCGCTGATCACTATCAATAGTCCGCTGGTACTCCAAGGTGCGCAGGGCCCCAGCTCACGACTAGAGGAGCAGGCTGCTTCCAAGGCTGTTGTCATATATGGCAACTGCGCCAATAGTACGCTTGTGTTGTCCATATAAGGTCATAGAGCTCTTGCCCTCGATCCCCTGCAGCTACAGCTCCTCTTCCGTCTCCTGGACACGGTCGCGCACATCCTTCACATATTTCTGCCATGTGTCCGCCTGTATAGGTGCCGTAAAAAAGCCATATTTCCGCTCAAGGCGGTATATTCGGTTTGACCAGTTCGTGCGCATACACGTCGCTGAGAGGTAGTCAAAGACCTGTCGGGTGAGTCGCTCTTTCCTCATAAAAGGCAAGCGGCCACGGTAGGTCAGTTCGCTTGCCGACTCCCGTGCCTCGAAGGTGGACCACCCGAGGTCTCCTTGAACAGCCTCAATAGCTTCTGCACCATGCGACCCCAAAGTAGTGCGGCCGACCTCTCGCTGTCGTCGTTCCAGCCATTCCCTGGTCGCATAAGACAGACAGACAACTGCGTTGCAGAAAGTCAGTGCCGGCACATGCACAATACATGTCGCAAACCAGCAGATATCTGTTGAATCCCCCATATGCTTCTGCGCCGGGGAACAGGCCCGCAGGACCATCCGTCTATTTCCTCGTGTTCCCTATAAATGTCGCCTCCTGCACACAGAATCACTCCGAGGTACTTGTACGATGAGGCCACCCCCCGCCCTCCCCGCGCCTGTCCAGACAGCGTCAGGGTATCGTTGCCCAGTGTCACACCCACCACCTGTACTACAGTCGTCTTCTAGGCGTTATAGCGAAGCACCAGCTTTTCGACTTCCGCTGCACAGATGTTGAGTAGTGCCACAGAACAGTAGTGACTGCATGTCTCGGTGATTTTCTGTGACAAGGCACCACCACCTCGCGTCGAGAAGAAAAACCTAAAATGAACAAACGCAACTGTTGTATTTTCTGGCTTATTTCGCGTTGAACTCTGAAGAAAAATTAAACATTACTCACAATGAGCGCCTGTAGAAGCATCTGCTTGTGGGCAGACAACCATTCCGGCGAGATCCGATCTATCTGAGTATGGAGTTATCTGAGCGATTCACTGAGCCACCAGCTTGTTTGGACAGCAAAGTAGCCTGCATCGTATTTGTCTACGATGCGGTCTTCTCGGAGCTGTGTATTTTGTCGGCTACGTAGAATTCGAATGAGACTTAAGATGGCCGCCGTCCATTTAGCTGTCTGTTTCATCTCCATGGTCTATTCCGCTGTCTACGGAGAGTATTGGAACACACCCAAAGGTCCCTAGTCCTAGGGCTTTATGGCGCACTAAAGCCCCCTGATCTTGGGAAAGTACCGCCATCCACTGTACTCGCCGCCGCGCACTCGACCTCCTCGCTCCCCTTGGCGTCCTCCCGGTCTCCGACGCTTTTTCTGCACGGTGATTGATCTCCTCCGAGGTTGGCCTTGGAGACACGTGGATCTTGCACTTTGCTTGTTTTTCTTTTTCAGTCGCACCATTTTTCGCTGACGCTCTGCGTAACAAACGTAGCGCGCGATTTGTTTTCTGTGGTTTGTGCGGGCGCTAAGCCGTGCTGTTGCGCGTATGACTGCAACAACCGCAGTGAAAATGTTTACGCAACATTTATGATACCCCAAGATAAACGCGATGGCTTGTGCAAGCAGCAGTGGCTGCACAACATCGGCCGAGAAAACTTCATTGCGACAAAGAACAGTGTACTTTGCGAGGTAAAGCGCCTTTCTTATTGCTCGTATCAAAGTATAACCGAATGCTGCATTTGAAATATTGTTTCTGCCTGCTCATCAACATACGTGCTTTTAGGGCGAACGCCGTGGTTCGTATGTCCCGTGTCGTCGTAGTAGCCGCATTGCATTGGATGTAAATAAAAACGGTGTCACAGCATATTCAACTAGTGAATGATGATGAGTGGGGCGAAGCGTCCAGCAGTCCGTCTGTCTGTGCATCCGTCCATCCATACGCTCGCCCCACTTGTCATCATTCGCCTCGTATATATGCTGTGATTTTTAAGTGTGAATACACTTTATAAGTGACCCCAAACCATCCACGGCCGTCGGCGGCGTCCGCAGTCTTCTCTCTATCTTTAAAAGAAAGAGGACTTGGCGGGCCGCAGCACGGCGCTCTACCGAATAAGCCACGGACGCGACGCTGATATCCCCCTTCGCTCGCTCCTCCGCTCTCCTCGCTCGCTGCAGCTGCGCGCGCACCCCTCTCTCTCGCGCGCCCGCCTTCTCTCTCAGTCTCCCGTCGAGAGCGGGTCGTGCGATGGATGTCCCGGAGGCAACGCTACCATCAACAACGAATGCAGGACAACCGAATGCCAGCACTGCACCCGTCGTTGGAGGTGACGGAACCGCGGTGGTTTCGCCGACGTTGGAAGACAAGGCGGCGCTGCGAAGGGCTCGTGAGACCGAACGTAAGCGGGCGAAGCGTGCAGCGGATGCCGAACTGCGCGCTCGCGAGGCCGAGGACAAGCGGGCGAAGCGTGCAGAGGATGGTGAACTGCGCGCTCGCGAGGCCGAGATGAGGCGTCAGCATCGAGCCGCGAACGCGGCCCAAGAAGCCAAGAAGCGGAACGACAACGCAAGCGTCAGGCGGAGAAGGGCGATGAAGGCCGGCGTCAAGACGCCGCTCGCAATCGTCAACGGCGAGTGGACGTTCCCGAAGCCGTTCGAGCCAGTGAACGTGCCGCGCAGGAGAGGGTGCGAGCCCTGGACTTTGCTCGTCCGGGGCTCGCATGCTATGAGGGGGAATGAAGTTAAAATCCGTTGGCATTCGCCAGTGAGTTAACGTAAACTCCCCCGTGTGATCAAATTGCGATTTTACACCATGGTGCGATTAATAAATATAATAGTGCGAATTAATAAATACCCCTCATATAATCACCCCGTACATCCGCACTTAACCATGTTCACCCTCAGGGAAATGCTTGGGAGTTTTTTCTCTCTGCTATTTGTGCGTTGCTTCAAACTGGAGTTGTCATCAATATGCTGAATTCAATTGTTAGAAACAAGAAGCAAGTTGAATCGTTTAACGTTTTTATGCAAAATTATGTCAAGGAAAGTTGCCTTGAATATACCTTGTTGCGTTCAGCCAGCCACTGCTAGGAATACCCGCCGTAAATATGATCGATTCTTAGCACCCATATTTACACGAACTAATGCTTACAAATACAGTTATTTTCCCAGAACAGTTGATGAATGCAATTCGCTGCCTTATGAGATTTTTTCGGCTGACAATTTTGCTATGTCGCTGAAACGTTGTCTACTTGGTCATTAGAGTGTTCAAATGTGTTAAAAATTTTGCTGCTATATCACAATTTTGTTGCTATTTCCTCTGTTAGCATATGGATACTTGATTTTTTTCTTTTTGCTGTTACAAATCACTTGATGTTTCTTATGCCCCTCCTACCTGGACCAAAATGCTGCTTCGTTAGTGAAGTTTGTGATGTGGAGCAGACGACGGAAGACGCGAGTCACTGCGGAATGCATTTATTAGGTCCCTAACAATACCGTTACGACGTATGCCTCGAGGCAAGTCTCATTCTGCTGACATAAATTAAGCCACGTACTATATCGATGTGCCGCGCTGACGTTTACGAAAGCTATATAATTGTTGTTTTGATGTGGTATCCAGCAGTAGCAGCCATATATTGTCATGTGGAAACGTTTGCAGCGTGCTAAAAAATAAACGAAAACTAAAGTTATACGATCATGGCACTAGAATGACCGAGAAGTTCTAGAGTCACGTCTTTCGTGCCACGGGACTATGATCCGATGACTTCACCACGAAGCAGCATGCTGAGCGCTTTACCAAAGGGAGTCAAGTTCAAGTGCTCACCTCGTTTATTTATTTATTTATTTTTCGGCTCTCGTGCCATGCTTGCTCTATCGTTCGGGAACGCGGCTGTATTCACCGGCTGCGACAAGCCGGGAAACTGATACAGCTTTACACGTGGAGAGCGTCTCTTGGTGTTGCCTGCATTGTTGTGGCAGCCTACAACATAATACTTCGGACCTCACCAACGCTTCCGTGGGGCCGCTTCTACCATCGTGGAAAGGCAACTTCGCACAACGAGCTAAACTGACGGCACGGCGCCGAAGTTGTCCGCACCGACTGCAGGACGTGTTCCACGCGTGCTGCACGCGCTCGCATGTCGGAATGAATGCGTGGTTGAACGAAAGGGAAAAAAAGGCACTAGGTCTGTTCCATTCACCTGCACCATTCGAAACCGGTTCACGGCTGTGCACACGAAGTTCAGAAATTGTGCAGCGCGAGTTCAGCGGTGCAGGCACAGCGCGACACCCGAAGCGAATGACTATGTGCTGACAAAGTGCAGCCCTTATTTCTGTTGGCTTAATTAACGCCATTCAACTAACGCTGCCTGATGGCACACCGCACATGCGGACATTTATTTATGAGGCGCAAACATCGCGGCAAAACACACCGCGTTAGTAAGGCGGGTACGGCGCCTAAGCGCTGCGTCGTCTGCACAGCTGCACGCACGGCTGCACCAAGCCGTCACCAGGTCCGTTCGATTCGCCTGCACCACGTGAACCAGTTCACGGGGTGCTGCACTTTGCCATTCGTTTCAGAGGTGCAGAAGAGATGCAGCATTGGTTCATGATTTTCGTGCACCTCCTACGTTGATGGTGCCGGCTTGGTGCAGCCGCGCGTGAAGCTGAGCAGACGACACAGCACTTAGGCGTAGGCGCCGTACCCGCCTCTACTAACGCGGTGTGTTTTGCCAAGGTGTTTGCGCCTCATGAACTGTCCACATGTGCGGTTCGCTATCGTTCAGTGTTCACTGAACAGTGTAAATTAAGCGAACAGAAATAAGGCCTGCACCTTGTCCGCACATCGTCATTCGTTTCGGGGGTGACGCTGTGCCTGCACCGCTGAACTCGCGCTGCACAATTTCTGAACTTCGCGTGCACAGCTGTGAACCGGTTCCGACTGGTGCAGGTGAATCTAACGGACCTACCGTCAGCGTAGGAGGTGCAGAAAAATCGTGAACCAGTGTGGCACCTCTTCTGCACCTTTTGAAACGAATTGTAGGGTTCCGAGGTCATCAATGCTGTACCGCTGAAACAAATGGCAGGGTGCAGCACCTTGTGAACTGGTTCACGTGGTGCAGGCGAACCCAACGGACCTACTATCTTCTGCGGGGGGAGTGGAGAAAAGAGATTTGGAGTAGGTAGAAGAAGGTTTGTATGGAAGAATGTGACGGTTATGGCTGGTAGAGAGAAAGCGCATAGGGGCCGATGGCAGGGCAGCCGAGTCGTAAGACTGGGAAGTGTGGGGCTGCAGGTGAGAAGTGATCCTACAGCTTAAATGAAAGCCCCGAGGAATCCAAGTATTCCAGGAGGCTCTTTAAGGCTGGTCCCTGGCAAGTTGCCGGGAAAAGCAAAACACACTGACTCACCTGCGCCTTCTCCTTCGCCTACCCTGAAGTTTTCCGTAGCTCGCCGCCTGAGCCAGGCGCGGCGTTGTCGTCGCTCCGCAAGCTTTAACCGACGTGTCTAGTTTCTTGGAACCTTGATCTACTGTAATCAAAACAATGTAATATGACGCGTATACGCATCCATTGCACAAGTTCGGAACACCGCCTGCGACATTCGACTTGGCATCAGACGATTTGCTGGTGCTCGTTTTTCCAGCTCTGCCCTGTGAGAAGCAACCTCGTTTGTCAGAGTGGGGAGCTGGTTCACGGGCTCCTGCGTTTCGGTGAGAATAGACCAACATGATAGCCGCCAGGAAGAGTTTGTCCTAGTTTGTACTATCCTTACAGAGAATTTTGTTGCGCGCACTTGAGCAGTATCGGTCTCTGAGAATAGCCCCACCGCGGTGGTCTAGTGGCTAATACCCCCGTCACACGTGGTAACTTAAGTGCACTTTGAGCAAGTGTACTTACGCTCACACAGTGTCATATTGGCGGTTCCCTGCTACAAGAGAAATCGAAGTGTACTTTGAGAAAGATGGCAGTGGCGATTGAGGGATTTTCGCACAACATACATTTGTTATTTTTGCGCCTGTGTCTCACCGTCGGAACACGTTGTCTTCGTGGAAGCAGTACATGTGGCACACGCCATCTTAAATGACCAGAGAACACCTCACCAACAGAAATGTGCCTGGAAGTAAACACCGCGACAGACGCAGTTGTTGCGTATTTCTCTATGGTTATTGCACAGCATGTGCTTACTCATCCCCCTAGCGGACGTGGCCGCCAACTGCCCGACGGCGAGAGTAGCGAGGTTTTTTGTTGAATTATGACTTGTTTTAATAGACAGCCGTATTGCTCATAACAAAAGCAATAGTTTAAAAAGAGTACAAGCGCGACTTTAGGCAACAGCGTATGTCTGTACAAGTCGATGGTACCGAGGCTACACGCTTCATCGCAGCCATCTCAGCGAAGTCGCAGAACACCTACCAGTTCGACGTTAGCGAACACACTTGCCGGCAAGTGACACTAAAGCTGTCGTGTAAATGCTGCAGGCCCGTTTGCTCAGATTTGGGTGCACGTTAAAGAACCCCAGGTGGTCAGTCGCACGCGTACTTCCAAAGCTTCGAGTACGCTGCTCTCAACCTTTGTTCGATGATTTCCGTACTAAAGTTTGTATCGCCCACCCCGATTAGGAAATGTGTTCGGAACATTCGAATTTAGGCCCAATAGGCATAGTAGATTTTCGCTGGGGAATTTCACGAATTCATATCTGTCGCCTTTTCGCATCACTGAGATTTTACTGTAGATTTAGATGAACGCTTCTTAAACTCATTCAAAATGGGATAGGTTCGAAAAGCATGGAGCGATTTGAGCCGATTTTTTTAACAAGGCGGTTAGATCATGCTCAGAAATTTCGATTTCCGGGAGATTTTAATGACAATCGTACAAACGAAACAAACGGTCCAAATCCAGGAGTCTCCTGGCCAATGCAAGAGACTTGGCAGGTATGTTATAGGAACACACTTGACGGCAGTGAAGTGGTGACACAAGCACTAGTACTATATTCTTTAGTCATTATACCATATGATGAAGTAGTGCGCTTTGCATGGGCGCCTAGGGGACAAAACATCTGCAACTCAATTTCTTTCAGGAAAAATACTACATCCCCTTCATGTCCCTGTCCAAAGTACACTACTTCACCATACGATTTTTATGATCACCCACCAATTGGCCCAGCTCTCAACCTTATATATTTATAGTCTTTGGAGTGCTGAGTCATTTGTACACACTATACACACTTACTAACATTTATTTATTGTTCACAATGAAAATAACCTTGTGCTTTAGTGAACGTTGCGAGAAATTCAGCACAATATACCAATTCACTGTATACTTCAACACAATAGACTGTGTCCACATGTGCTGCTTACACACAGGGTATAAATGTATCTACATGAATAGTGCTAAAAGAGTCTCTGAAAACAGGCTTCATCATCCCAAGGCACAGCTCTACTGTTTTGAGACAAAAGCCTTCAGCTTTTCCAGCAGGCCAATATAAAGACTGTGCTCGTAAACAGTGCAGAAGTTGACAAGATTGTAGCCAAACTCGCTGGAGATTCCACGTTCCTCCAACATGTTCATCAGCAGGTCATACAGATACTGAAATAAATAACAGAGATATGAAAGGAACACTTACAGGTTTCATAGCAACTATAAAGAAAAAAAAACTTATAGGTTTGAAGGGTTTAGAACACTTTCTTAGAATGTATAAAAAAATGACGCCCCTATCTTGCACAGCATGAAAGCACATTTACTGAACACATGCAAAATCATGCACATTTTTCACAATTCACCATTTACCTCAACACAAAAGAAAATTTTTTTTGCTAGGCTCATTTTTTGCTGATAGCAGCTTTTGTTGTACAATCGAGCCCGACTATATCGAACCCTTTTATATCAAATTATCCCACATATCGAACAATTCCTAAACACGGTAAGTTTACATGGAGAATATATAGCAAAAGTTACTGTTTTATCGAACAAAAATAGCAATGACAACTGATATATCAAACTTCATGTGCCTCAATAGTGCCCCAGCAAGTTGGATTTCCCTCGCGGTGGCGGGGAAAACTGCCGGCGCCAACCTAGAAAAAAAAACTGCCAAGCATTTCCCCGAGGGTGAACATGGTTAAGTGCGAATACACGGGGTGATGCTATGAGGGGTATTTATTAATTCGCACTATTATATTTATTAATCACACTATGGTGCCTTTATGGTGTAATGGTTCCTGGGAATCGCAATTTGATCACACGGGGGAGTTTACGTTAACTCACTGGCGAATGCCAACGGATTTTAACTTTACTCCCCCTCACGACCCGCTCTCAATGGGAGACTGAGAGAGAAGGCGGGCATGCGAGAGAGAGGGGTTCGCGCGCAGCTGCAGCGAGCGAGGAGAGCGGAGGAGCGAGCGAAGGGGGAGGGGGTATAAGGCGCGTTACTGACACCGATATCAGCGTCGCGTCCGTGGCTTATTCGGTAGAGTGTCGCGCTGTGGCCCGCCAAGTCCTCTTTCTTTTAAAGATAGAGAGAAGACTGCGGACGCCGCCGACGGCGGTGGATGGTTTGGGGTCGCTTATAAGGTGTATTCACACTTAAAAGTTGGTTAGACCCGGTTGTGCGCGGGCGAACACACCCCTCTAAGAAATTATCCTAGCTCGCTCGCAGCGCTTACAGCCAATCAGAGGCCGTCGTGCTTTCTTCGAGGCGCGGAGGAGGTAGAAGTGAGCGCCATTTTTTCTTTCTTAATGCTTGTGTGCCTGCTGCTGCCGATTCAGCGTGGTCTGTGGTGTTGCCTGTTGGTGCTCTGTGAACGGTATTGGCGCGCTGTCATCATGGCTTGCGCAAAGAGGCAAAATTTGCCGTTCGCCGCGAAACTCGAAATCATCAATCGGGTTGAGCGTGGTGAAAAGAAGTTCGACGTCGCCGCCGCATACAAAATTCCAAGGAGCACCCTGAGTACTATCCTGAAGAACAAGGCAGACATCAGGGCCAAGTCGGACAAAAGGCCAGGTGCCCGTGGTGCCCGACGTGTGCGTGCTGCTGTGTACGAAGATGTTGAAGCGGCCGTTTACGAGTGGTTTGTGGACGTTCGGTCGCGAAACATCCCGGTGTCGGGCCCTATGATCGAGCAGAAAGCCAAGGACCTTGCTTTTCTGCTTGGCAGGAATGATTTCCAAGGCGGTTAAGGCTGGCTTCAGTGGTTCAAAGAACGGCACGACATCGTTCGCAAAGCTGTTACAGGTGAAAGCAGAGGCGGACCTGGACAGCGTACAAAAATGGCTCGAGGAAAGCTGGCGAGATATTACAGCAAGATATAGAGCCCAAGATATCTTCAATGTGGATGAAACCTCTCTATTTTGGCAAATGACTCAGGAGGAAAGGGGGGCCACTTGAGCAGCAGCCATGAACTTTGATTCTAATCAAGGGCGTAGTTGCGATAGCTGGCACGTTCGATATCGACAAGCATCAGCACACGGCTCGTAAACTGTTCTACGTGGTGCGCTCTCAATGGGAAGAGATTGTGCAATAAGAGCATTTCTCCATGGAGCAGACGTACTTATTTTCTTACACCAGCGTTTCGTGGTCGAGTATCACTATGTCGGAGCCAAAGGAGTTAGCTGTCGTCAGCCTTCGTGTTGTCATAGGGTCATGATGTCGACCAAAGCAGCAGCCGCTGTTTTCATGAGTGAACTTTTTGTTTTAGCTAACCTGTGCCCAGAAAACGAAACCTCACTCTACAAGCAATACACATTGTAGACTGATAGCAGCGAACATAAAGCATCGGCCGTGGGTAATCTGCCACGCAGCAAAGTGTGTCGGCATTTATACATGTGCCATCGAAGACTCCAGAGCTATCGCTAGAGGTTGCGTAAGCTCCAGAACAAACTGTAATGTATGCGTTGTGCGCTTAATTTCATCGGAAGGTTCTGAGATTATCTAGATGGTTCCCAGTGATTGGGGTGCTGTTTCCACAAGGCAGCGTTACACGCGTAATGGTGCGGCAACAAAAATAGAAAGAAAGTAGCATGTACTTGCAGCACCACCATTGCAGCATTACATATCGTTGCTAATGCAGTCATCGCTTCACCAGTGAGCTGATTTCTATTTATTTATATTTTTTTCTGCTTATATGGCAAAGCACTCGCCGCACCGTTGCCGAGCAAAGCACGTGCTCGGTGGCGAGTTTATTGCAACACCACTGCTGCCTTTTGAGTTTGCCTAACAGCTTTGCTTTTAAAACGCATATAGAGTCACGTAATGAGGTATGCACACAAACACCACTTTAACAAGAACCATGCATTGTGCCAGCATTGTGACACGTGGTGCAAGATTCAGGCATATTCAGAAATACGACATTTAATATGAACGCAGTTGCATCCTTTGTGTAGCCCACGTGTGTTGCTCAGTTGATGATAAAACTCTCGACTAAATTTGGCGTTTCATGTGCAAATTGCTGTTTAGGCGTGGCTTGGCACACCAGGTCAGATTGGTGCAGCATGGCACAATTGGCGCAGCACTTCCACCCCTCAACAGGCACTAACTTAGTCAAGTTGGCAATCACTGTGCATGTGAGCTCATGTGTCATTCAGTTTGCCCTGTCTAGGATGCACTATGTACATTGGGACCCTTCACATAGCATGCCGGAAGGAGAGAGAGCATGAACCCATGTGAAGCCAGAAGACGAAACACCTTTTGATCATCAAACTCCAGTCCATCCCACTGTTAGGGTGCTGAGAGCGCTAACACCACTTCGTTATCCTCTACACCCTGGCCTGCTCCAAGCACCCCACAATTGATCTTTCTCTCTCACAAACACACACACGTACATGCACACTCAAACCTAAGCAGGCTCCATTTCTAGACTGACACCCGAAAGTCTGAAGCCAAAAAAAAAAGTGATACCTCATATGTAGACTGGCAAGAAACAATGAAAGCCTACAGCATACATCATCGAACCTAGTCATATAGGTAGTATCTAGCTGCAAAACAGCTTAATAATGAGGCAGAGGGGATTGCTTCGGAGTGAATGATGTGTATTTGTATAGCCATCTCTACTGAAGAAAAATGACGCCACTTCTCTAAAAGCTGGCACCACTGTGACGTGTGAGCAGCTATACACACACACATTATCACAGCACACGTGTGCACCTGCTGTGCGAGTTTATGTTCAGTGCACTTCCTCATACATCAGTGTTGCTAGCTTCTAACAGTAGACAGATGTTGTGTCTGTCATGTCAAACTAGCTACGCTTTCTTGTGCACTTTAGGCGGGTTACGCTGCCCCATGGCAGAACGGCGAGCGTTGGGGTTGTTGCTCATTAGATGTGTGCAGCAGGTGAGAGACGCTATACCACACATGCTAAGCATCAACAATCAATTGCACTAGCATATTTGTCAGTGGCTGCTATCCTGGCCATCACTACTTGTGCTGAAGTCGTAATCATTGGCCAGTCAGCATCTCCAAACAAAAGTGCTACATTTTTTTTGCAGTACAGCGTGGTGCCAGTCACAAATTTCCAGGATGCACTTAAACCAGCAGTCATAGAAGCCACAATGGCATGAGCGATCTGCAGCAATTATACTGAGGAAAACAATAACTCAGTCATTTATTTATTTACTTTTTTAATTCTCCAATGTACGCTATACCTAGGGTTTTGCAGATGAGTAGTGGAAGAAATAAAGCTGAGCTTGTGCACGTAAAAAGGTACCAATGTACAGCAATAATAATGATGCAATAATGAATGATGATGTGCAATAAATTTGAAGATTTCTTGAATTGAAATTCTATTCAAAACAGCTAGCTCATTCAATTTCAATGAAGCACCACGAAACTAAATAGACGAAAAGCAACTCTAGCAATCCAACTAAGACTTGTAATTTCGGCATGTAAAAGATGGTCTTACCCCATCCATAATGTCACCAGACACTGTATAGACTGCATCCGTCCATTCCCCTTCATATATGGCAAATTCAGCAACACCAAAACTGTCAGCTGAAAGCGGAAAACAGGGCAATGAGCAAAAATGTGATCATGTTCACCAAGCTTTATATATATATATATATATATATATATATATATATATATATATATATATATATATATATATATATATATATATATATATATATATATATATATACCTAGTAAAGCTTACAAAAGTACAGAATAGGAAACTTGAAATAATTAGTAATCCAAGCAGCAGCAGTAACATAATCAAGGACACTTTCCAAATAGTGTTATCAGTATGGGCATTATGCAATTACAAAATGTCAGTTTCAGTTAACGACATCATGTGCACCAAATATCCCATTTGTTGTAATGTCTTTACTTTTCCAGCATGCAGTACTCTAATATACACGCTCTAAAAAGCAACCTGAACTTACCAAGGGCACAGGGTAGAGCAAAAGTTCAAAAAAAGAACGGTGTTCTCTTGAAGCATTCGTATCTTGCACATCCGTGCTTTTCTCAAACGGCATTTTTATTGTGGCTCAGAACCAGCTTTTCCAATCACAAGTACATTTAACCTGCTTATAACGATCCTCCATATAACAAATTCCTTGATATAACAGAAGTTTTTCGATTCCCCGCCGTTGCTCCATAGAAGCACGTACTTGCGACCTCTATGCAACAAAGTAAAGCGGGAGACAACCTTGCTATAACGAATTTTCCCCACGGGCAATATAGAAATTTCGCCCCTCATTTTGGCATTTTAGTACGAGCAAGCATCTTCCGCATCTGCCCCGCCGCCGATGAAGCGCAAAGCGGCGGGGCAGAATGAGCTCGTCATTGCGCACCCGTGAGCCCAAGGCGGGCAGGTGGGCCTGCCCCTCACGAGCCGGAATAGCCGCCGCGGGAGCATACACAGGTGTGCCCTCCTCCCCCAACTCCAGACCAAAATAATAATAACAAAAACTACTTTTGCGTGTTGGCAGTGCCAGGTTTTTAGTTAGCGTCACATATGTGGGGCCGCTCTGCATATGGAGGGCGCTTTACCAAATAGTTTTCCGCATTATCGGTGTCTTTCTCCGTGTCGTTCGCTTTTCGTTTTAGACGTCGTGAGAGCGTGCATAGTTTCACTGCGTGCGCATGGTGTGGCCCACGACGACATTCAGCTTTGTACACATGGACAGCCTTGGCTGGTTTTTTCGCCACCACTATCGCTACCTTCATTCACCGTATATATTGTGAAGACGTTTATTGGCGGACACTTGGCGATGATGCACGACAGCGACAGTCAATGCGGGGACCGACTCTCTGCACGAGCTGCTCTTACGAAGAGGGCGATCCACTGTACTCCCACGCGTACTTTGCCCAGCGAATGGGGGAAAAATTAGAGGCTCGTGCACGCACTCATCTTTCGGTGAGGAAAATCACGCGCCTTCAACCTTAACTGGAATGATTGTGTTTAGTTGCCGGGAGCACAAAGATCACTTGGCTCGCTGGACAGGCTCCATTTGTGAAAAGAGTGTGCTTTTCAAACACAGCGAAGTAACAACTGGGGCACTTGTTAGTTCGTATTGATATCTGTACCTGAGTTCACGTTTCGCGTCGCGATTTTGTTTAAACAGGTCAAGTTTCGAGCGGTAAATGTTGTTAGTTCGTTTTCGTCCTGTGTATTTTGTTTTCGTGCGTGAGCAGCGCGCTGCACGTTTCGATCTGCTTCGATCTGCTCTCAGTGTTACATTCCAAGTTATTGCTATAGCATTCATTATTGCTTCGCCCTTGCGGAGAAACTGTGACTTTTCTCAATTTGGGACAACCGTGTCGTCACCACGGAATAGATGTATAATTAGGCGCTGATGGAAACTCTCCAAAAACACACTAACGACGGATCTTTGGAGATCGACTCGTCATGCACTTCTGTCTTGCGCTGCGAGTTCACAGGCTGGTAGCTTTCACGATTAGATGATTAGTTCTGGCAACACAACGGCAAGTTGAATGCAATGAACGCGATAGCAAAAAATTGTAATATAAGAAGTAAGGCCGGCAGCCAACTCTTTGGATCCGATATCGCGGAACTCCTACAATTTTTTCACAGTCCTTTCGCGTTGAAACTGCACTGATACTCGCCGAGATAGCAAGCGTGCCAAAAAAATCGACTGCCCTTTTCATTATTGTTACTCGAGCTACACCCCCCCCTTCCCCCTGCGTTGTTTCATGCTCGTTCAAGACTGGTGGTTTACTTTTTGTTTGAGCATTGGACGGCACTTCTAGCACGCGGGCGATGTTATCTTATGCGCTTTCCAGGTGATAGAGATGGGCCGACTCATGCGATCTCTGCTTCATCCACGCTCGCGTGCATGTTATCAATTTGAACTTGTTACGAAACATAGCGGCGACGGTAAAAACCCGCCGAGTGTCCACATATAATTGCTATCGCAACAATAACGCAGTTTTTTACTGTAAAGTAAGTATTTTGGGGTTAGCTCTGCCTTCAGTCTCCCTTTTGTTTAAATTGTGCATTTATTTTCCGAATTTTTGTACCGAACCTGCGTATAACGAGACCTTATTCATAATGAATTTTTCCGGGAATTTATAAATTTCATTATATCCATGTTTAACTATAGTAAAACAAAACACACCTTAGTGTAAGCCCATCTATGTGCTCTGTGCTTATGACCTTTATTTTTTCAAAAAATTTTCATGCATAAAAGACAAAATGCTTATCTAAAGTGAGCTGTGAATAGGAATTCGTTAGGTAACATCTAAGGCAGTCTGAAAATACTCTGCGCTTTTATATTCACACTTCGTCTTCAGAGCGCATCGGTTCGAACACTTACAGCTCCTAGCTGCATTACATCTTGTGTTTAACATGCTTGTCAATAAGCTTAGATGCAGGGGTAAAGAAGGTCCTCAGCAGGTGTAAATATTACAGCAATGCATACAGTTCTCTTGTTAATGTGAATAAATGCGGTGACACACTGAGGCAATGAACTCTGAACTAGCAAGCCCTTAATCATTGAACCTCTCATCACTCCAGCGTCCGAGGCGAATCATGCGCTTGGTAATAACAGTTTGTGACGCAGATAGACTGAATAGCGCGTAATAACGGCTTGGTGTACGTGTTCAGTTCATGGGATTTATGTCGCCGAGTCTTTGCTGTCTTTGTTTAGGCTCAAAGTATTAAGAATTGCAACATTGATTATTGTTTTTCCATTTAATATTGGTAGCATACCACGAGCCGAAATTCTGAAACATTTAGGATTGAAGCCTGGCCAAACTACTATCCATTTGCTAAAAAACACTAGCCACACTCGATGATACATTGCAGATAGAGCTGCATGACATCTCAAAAAGCAGAAACACAGGCATTATGAGAAGCTCCAAAATGAAAAATGGACTTTGGCAATGATCACCAAGCTTGTAGCTACTTAATAAAATACTAGTTGAATAATGTTTGTTACGAAGTGTGATCACTTTTCAGCCGTTCTCTAACTTTAAATTCGACTATCTCAAAACCATGTTTTTGATAGTTAGGTTGTAGTGACACGTATCCCGAAGGAGTACGGCCACTAACGTGGGTCCAGTCTTAGCGAGCCGCAGAGCATGCGTTAACCGTCGCCGTGGCGAGAACACGATACTGCTCAAAGTCGCAACACTTCATTGTCTGTGGCAACACCAAAACGCAGTACAGCCCATTGCAAAGGCGCGGCGGGAAAGCAAATGGGCTTACCCACGCCACGGGCGCAAAGTACCACACAAGGTGCCACGAGCACGTCTCCATGGTAAAAGTGATTCACGGAGACACTGGGACGAAGTCCCAGTTGCTCGAGCGAGGGCAAAGGCGCTCGCGCTGGCTTCGGAGAGATACGAGTCGGCGTAGCCTGGCCACGCACTAGGAACCCGCACCACTCTTCGGCCTAGCGTTCGGAGGGGGGGGGAGACATAAGGTAAGCGTTCGCTGCGGGCGCAAGACGCTGTTGGCGAAGTCCGTATGAGCCCCACAGGGAGCTGACGAACAGAAAAGAAAAGCGTGCTTACCCCATGTCGTCCTCGGAAAGGTTTCTCTGCCCACTCCCGACGCAGCGCACGAAACTCCGCACGCGGCACGATAGTCAACATCCGCTACCGGGTGAGGGGGTTAAACGTCACTCCGCTCCCCCAGCGCGGCAGACAGCGGAGGAGGGGAGACATGTCGGGACATGAGAATGAAGAAATCGGCGGCAAAGCCCGCGCAAAGGCAGCGGACCGGCCTCAATTCCCACAAGGTACAGTCAACCCTCTTTATTGCGTACCCGCTAATGTGTAACTGCTGAACCCCATGTACAGGCTGACCGCTTAAGCCATAGTCGCTGGTGGCACTACATACGGTTAGCACGTACTATTTTCATTCTCGTTATCTGTGCACAGGCCAAAAATCAGCAAAATTTTGTGCGCACAGACGTTCGATACACTAGCTGTGACAATCGGACTACAACAGCCAGCGATAGTGACATCAAAACATGGCCACATTACCGTATTTTCTGTGCATACAGCTTTTGCTCATCGCATCGTGCAAAAGAATGGCCTTTGAAAGCAGTTCTTGGTAACCCAGGAACTCCCAGTTGTTGCTCCTGGTAGGGGGTGCGAATTTGCTGTCGCTTTCCTATCCAAGCAAAGTATTGCAACGGCTCAACAACTGAGCCAGGTTGAGCACGTTTCTTTATTCGGTCTTTTGTCCTCACTTTTCGCAGTGTTGATCGTGGTGGCGGTATGGTGGTGTTACGTTATCTACATCCTTCTTGTGCGGCGTGTCGTGTTTATTTTTAATTCTTGTTGAGCTGTGCGCGAGAGGTGCAATTCGATTTGTACATGAAAACTGTATACTATTATGTCAAAGTACCACGTCTTGACTGCGAAAGAAAAAATTGAAATCATTCGCACCATTGAAAATGGGGCCACAAGATCTGCGGTAGCCCGCGAAACAAATTTGCCTCTGACAACTGTGTGCGGAATTTAGAGAGCTCGCAAAAAGTTGACGTGCGGCACAGACAGTAATTTGACGAGGTGCACAGGTGTTACTGTAATTTAAGTACAAGTGTGTTACTGTAACACAATTAAATCAGAGACCTCATTCTCAGCAGTCATCATGGCAGGTATGAAAGTTCTTTTTTTTTATAACAAGAAAGATACAAAAGGTTTGTTCAACATGCGAATTGAACCTAAGAAACCACAGTCACAAGCTCAACTATAACAGTTTTATGCTTTCTGGCAAGTACGGATGGTGACATTTTTTAAAAATTTTTGTGTGCAATAACTGATTGTAATAACAATTGTACTGTTTCCAACATAAACATATGATTGAGCAAAAGACTACTGGTGCAAAAAACTTGCACCTCTTCGTTATTTGATATTCAATTCGTATTCGAAGCTATGTATTTGTATTCGATTGGTATAGAAAATTTTGATATTCGCACACCCCTAGTCAAAAAAATGCACACGTGGTATCTTGCTTATAAAAAAACACCTCACATAAAAGATAATAATTGCTACCCAGTGAATGCCTCTATATAGAGATTCAACTACAATACATATGGCAAGAGAGTGATTGAACTCAGTGTAAAAAACATTTTGAACCTTAGAAGTTCAAAACACTCATAACTTTAAGAAGTGTAGTGAATACTTCTTCCTTTAGAAACAGGGTCTCTAACATACCTGCATTGATGAATAAGGTGTACTTCATGAAGAGGTATGCTTATTATAAACTATGATATGTTACAGGATGCCATTCTATTATATTCGGCAATTGATATGTCAGTAATATTTGTAACACTAGATTGGAAAGTAGACTTTCATAAATTAGAAAAAGAAGACCTGTGACTGGTACAATTAGATAGATTAGAAAGATATTTTGCAGATGGAGATTCATGAAGATCAAGTCCAGTAGTAAAGTCATCCTATGACCACATAACTACAAAGGTGTTTCACTACATCTTTAGAGCCGATATTTGACATCGACTCTCAAAACCAATAGTATTGCGTGTCAAACAATTTTGGGCAACTAATGCAATTCGTGCCACTAAACTAAGAATGCATTAGCACTGCCTCCCCGACAAAATATCGTTGACGATCTTACCAACACTGCAGCACCAGAAAACCCTGCTCTTTATGCACAAGATTTTTAAAATGTAGCCCCCTCGAGTTTCTGAAACAACCAGAGTGCTGAGACAGACTTTTAGAAGGCTTCTTCAGCAAGCTGAAGTTGTTTTACCTCCTGGAATAAACACAGGCTGACTAAAGACGGCCAGCATGTGTGAACAAAAGGAGGAACTGCTCCACATGAAATATAATACACTGAAATATTTCTGGGCAAGCAGCGCAGCAAAAGTTTTTCACGCACTTAATAGGAATAATAAGCACACTTCACCCCCTTCCTATTAGAACCATGAAGATTAATCACTATTTAAGAAAGGGAGAGAACTACCTGTTTGTAGGACAAAGCCACAAGGAAATCAATTTCTCAGAAAAAGCTTCTCAGTTGTAAAAACGTTAATACTGGTTTGGGGTTCAAACCCAAAACCAACGCTTTACCCATCCGCCACATTGCAGGTTTCCACAGAACTCATTCGCAGTACTTGTGTCCATGTGCTTCGAGCTGTCAATGAATTCGCCCACGCGCTGTCAATTGCTAGCTTCTTGGTTAACTCAATTGGTAGAGCGACTGCCCCAGAAAGGCATTGGTCCCGTGTTCGAACCCCGGACCAGAACGAATTTTTCGGCAACTGAGAAGCTTCTCTTTCTAAAAAAAATCTGTACAGATTTCCTTGTGGCTTCGTGCTACAAACAGGTGGTTGTGTTCTTTCCCTTTCTTGACCCTACCGCCAACTTGTGGGTTTCCGCCGAACTTAATTGTAGTTAATCACTACTAATCCATCACATTAAACCCATAATCAATCACTATAACCAAACCATAGCAATAGAATGTTCCGTACATAAAAAGACGTAATAAAATGCTGCTTGGGGATTTGTTTGATTTATAGTAAAAAAAACCGCCTAGTGTTACTATAAAGAACTGCGTGAGTACATAGTTCAAAAACACAGTTTTTGGCTGGTTAGGCTGGATAGGTAGTACCATGTAGAGGGGTCCATTTAACCAAGCAAGCAAGAGTCATGGCTTCAGATCAGAAAATTGCTCAATGGCCATTGTTGCTACTTCCACTCTTGCTACAGGTGTTGGCTGCCACTTAGTAAAGGCGGGCACGTTGGGCACGGAAACAGTGACATCTAAGAGTCTGCCATAAAACATAGTCATTTGAAGTGTGCTAACACGATGTGGACCATTAAAACATGATTTTATTTCAAAATAAGCATTTCCTTGGCACAAAACTAGCACTACAATGTTTGTGGACCGCTATTACAACAATAAACATCGACTTAATATTTGCTTTTAGTGTCCCTTTAAGAGAACACATAATATTTGCTTTTAGTGTCCCTTCAAGAGAAAAACAATTTTTCATGCATTAGAGAAGTACAGTTTCACAATCCTGAAAACACCATTTATACCACAATAATAATAATAACAACAACAACTATAATAATAATCTGGGGTTTACGTCTACAAACCATGATATTATGACGAACACTATAATGAAGGGCTCCAAACATTTTGACCATCCGGTGTTTTTTAGGGTGCACTGACATTGCAGAGAACACTCGCCTCTACCACGTTGCCTCCAGTGAAACGCAACCGCCTCAGACAGGATCGAACCCGCAACTTTCGGGTCAGGACTTATCTACCATGGCGGACCATTCTTACCACGAGATGACACTTGGCAAGCGAGAAATGTACGGAAAGGAAATGCGGGTGGAGACACCACCTTGACATTTGTGCACCAAACACCATGACGGCATAAATTTTCGAAGAGTCTACTTGGTGCTACGAAGCTTCTGATCAATTAGAACAAAATACATTGTCATCTGTGGTGCTAAAATATGAAAAATATATTTTGAAATTTTTGTCGTCATGCGCGGAGATTTCGGTGCCAAATTCAAAAATGAAACTTCCGCCTTGTGGCATTAGAGTTCTCAGTCATTGTTTCTCTTTACAAACAAAGTCATTGTTTCTCTTTAGTGTCCCCTTAAAGGAAATTTTTGCAAAAAAAAGTAAGAACTCTTTCCAAGGAGCAGTGTTTTCACCAGTGCAAGTCACACTAGGGAAAACTCGTGCATGCTTACAGCAGATATCTGGAATTGAGAGTTGGCCACGAAAGTGCTAATCTGCTGCAGAAAGCAAGATGTATGGTAGATTTTAGAGTCTGTCACTCGAGAAATTCAATGCTAAGTTCAGGAATACAGCCAGTGCTTCGTTTTGGTAGGTGCTTACCATAGTTTTCAGATTGACCCTCGGGTTCAGCCACTTCGTTGAAGGTACAGCTGAAGAAAAGCTTTTTGCCACCACACTCTATCTCTACGGTGAAGTTGGGCTTCGATTTCATCTGCAAGTAAACGGGCCAGAATTCATCACCTAAAGACAGCACATAATGTGCATTGAGCCACATCCACTCAACTACTATGCATATAAGGAAAATGGTATGAAAAAAAAATCAAGTTTAAAGCATATTCAAACAAAAGCTACCATATACTGAACAAACACAAGTCAATGTCAAGTTGGCATTTCAGTCACAAATATTCACATACTAGCATAACTTCACATACTAGCATCGGACAGTTATAGAACTGAAAGCATAGCGTTCACTGTGTGCTTCCAGGGTTCCGTCCTTCCCTCCTTTCGAGTCCATCCCAACTAGAATCGCTCCTCCAGTTTATCAAACTACATCTATCCTGCTTACGAATATCCGTAGCTATATGCCCAAAAAGGAAGCTGTGCAAACTCTCCTTGAGGACACCAGCACCGACATCGCAATCCTAACTGAGTCATGGCTAACCCCTGATATTCACAACAATGAATTACGTCACAGCAACACCCATTTCACGTCTTACAGACTTGTTAGGAACAGACGCAGAGGGGGTGGTATTTTAGTTTTCGTGAAAGACAGCCTGCCCTCCCAAACTGTGACAATCAGTACGAATTTTGAAATTTGCGTTGAAATAATCCTTCCCACGTGCAAAAACATTCTTATAGCCTGTTACCGTGCACCCGACTGTGACCACTCTTTCACAGATGACCTTCAAAATGTTCTTTTTGATCTGACATCCCGGTTTCCTCACGCAAACTTCTTGCTATGCGGGGACTTTAATTACCCCGATATTGACTGGGACAACTTGTGTGCTAGTTCACGACAATCCAGAGATTTCCTCGAACTGTGTCTCCTTTTTAACTTATCGCAATCAGTCACAATGCCAACTCGTGGCACAACCACTCTTGATCTTGTTCTTGTCTCCAACCCAGATTTAATTCAGTCAGTGTCATGCATTCCCGGTCTGAGTGACCATAATGTTGTATTGTTTTCATTGTCCATTGCCTTACCTTCGCGAAGACCTTCGAAAAAATTAATACGCGACTTTAACAACGTCAACTTCTCGACGATTAACTCTGAACTTAATAAATTTTTGGTCTCCTTCACCCTGTCTGCTTCTACCCGAACAGTTGACCAAAACTGGTTATTGTTCAAGCGGAAATTATTAACCCTTATCGATAACCACGTCCCCCTTATTCGTGTTCCAGGCGATGCTCAGCGACCCTGGCATTCTAATCTCCTAAAGAAACTATCTCAAAAGAAAAAACGTCTTTTTCGCGCTGTTAAAAACTTTGAGTCAATATCAAAATCGAACAGATATTTCGCATGCCTTCGTGAATACACTCACTTGCTGAAGCGCTCCAAAAAGAAATTTTTTCATAATGACTTGCTTAACATTGCCCGAACTAATCCAAAGAAGTTTTGGAAACTTCTCAACCCTAAAAATAACACGCACAATATATCCTTAACCAACTCCGATGGTTCTCACGTTCCTCTCCCACAGCTGGCGGACGTTATGAATACTTACTTCACTTCAGTCTTCACTTCTGAACCACTTCATAGTATTCCAGTCATGCCGAGATTTAATTTTTCACAAATGCCGCCCATTGACATTACCTCCGAAGGCATCAGCAGTCTGATAAAGAAATTAAAAATATCCAGCTCCCCCGGACCTGACAATATTCCTGCCAAAGTTTTAAAGGCTACTAATAGCATTTCTAGTAAATTTTTGGAGATAATTTTTAAACAGTCCATCTCTGAAGGTTTCATCCCAGATGATTGGAAACTTGGGAAGGTTGTACCAGTTTTCAAGTCTGGCAAGCGATCTGACCCATCTAACTATCGCCCCATTTCACTAACGTGCATCGCTTGCAAACTTATGGAACATATAATATATTCACATGTTGCTCGTCACCTCGATGATCACTCTTTCTTTTTTCATAAGCAGCATGGTTTTCGTTCAGGGCTCTCATGCGAAACTCAACTTTTTGAATTTACGACTGATCTTCATCTCAACCTTGATTCGTCATTTCAGACTGATGTTATTTTTGTCGACTTTTCAAAGGCCTTCGATCTCGTCCCTCACCAACGACTAATCAACAAACTTTCTTCACTTTCCCTTGATCCCCTGACCTTATCATGGATTAAGTGCTTCCTAACCCACCGGTCCCAATTCACTGTTATCGGTGGTGCCCATTCTGATACTACTCCAGTAATCTCTGGCGTCCCTCAGGGCTCGGTTCTCGGCCCGCTCCTCTTTTTAATCTACGTAAATGACCTTCCTTCCGGCATTTCATCAACGGTTCGGCTTTTTGCTGACGATTGCGTCATCTACCGTCGCATATCAACTCCCGAAGATCAGCTAATACTACAGCAAGATTTACACATCATTGATAACAGGTGCGCTCAGTGCATGATGAGGCCGAATACTTCCAAATGTAAGTTCATGCCTGTTTCACGAAAACACACTAACGTCATCCATCCGTATTCATTAAACTCAACAGTGTTGTCCCAAGTGGATTCTTACCGATACCTGGGCGTTGTAATTACAAGCAGACTAACCTGGACCGAGCATATTACCAAACTAGCTGCCGATGCCTCAAAAACTCTTGGCTATCTTAGGAGATCATTGTCATTATCACCTGCAAGCCTTCGCAAATTGGCCTTTGAAAATTTTGTTCGTACTAAAATGGAATACGCATCTGCAATTTGGAGCCCTCATCAGATATACCTAATTAACATTCTTGAATCCGTCCAAAATCGTGCCGCCAGATTCATCTCCGCAAATTACGACAAACGAGCAAGCATCAGTCAAATCAAATCATCCCTCGGTCTCCCTGTTTTGTCAGCTCGACGCAAAATTTCACGTCTCTGTCTTTTTCACAAACTTTACTACAGCTTTCCTCACCTACATGGTTCACTTTTACTTCCGCCTGTCCGAACATCTCGTCGCCTATTTAATTCCCTGAGTATCCAACGTCTGTTTGGTTCTAACGCTTTTAATAAATCATTTCTTCCTACGGCTATCGATGAGTGGAACGGTTTGACGGATGCTATTGTCAGCGAACAAGTTGCTGTTAAATTTAGAGATTTATTACTAGCTACCCTTGACTCTTAATCGCTGTTTGTCTTTCTTTGTTGTTTGTTCTCTGACGCCTGTATATTTTGGACCGCGAATTGACTGTTGAATATTTCGTTTGACATGCTCTGTTTTCTTTTTGTTTTTTGTTGCTACCTGTATGTCTTAGTAATTCAAAAAACTGTAACCATGAACTGCATTTTCATTGAAATTTGTACTTGGATTGTTCCCCCCCTTATGTAATGCCCCGAAAGAGGCCCTTCAGGGTAAAATAAATTATGAAATGATGATGATAACTTTTGCTCAAGTTGGATTAACATATTCAATCTGGTTTATTTGTACAAAGCTTGCAGCTTGTTTCCTGGAATTTCTCATCACCCTGATATGCCGATTCACTTTGTTAGCTCTTTTGAAGGCAAACTACCACTCCCAAAATGGCACATAGAATGATCGCTATTTTGAAAACAGCATAATGTGCAGACGGTTCCACTGTTAAAAGGAACACCTGTGTTCAAGCTTATACAGATTTCACTCTCTTGCAAAACCGTAGTCGCATATACTTGCATAAGACTGCTAGTGTTCCCAGTTCTGGCTTTCTGGACAGTTTAGGATCAGAAACAAGCTGTGTATCTATGTACACTTGCATGGGGCATGAATTTGAAAAGTGTACATTCGAGTGTTCCCTTTAACAGTGGACCGTACTGTACAGCAAAGACCTTCAAGGAAGCTTAACCTTTGCCTTCAAGATTGGAATGTGATTGCACCCAATCTGCCTGCCATGTTTCGCTTCTTTAACACATGAACTGCACTGCACAAAAAAGAATGCCTGAGAGCCGAGCTGAACATTGGCACTTGCAAACTCTCCTTGAAAGTGAGCTGCAAGTGCAGCTGCGAAAGTACCGGAGTACCCACTACATTCTGTGCCACCACTCTGTGACAGAGCACGACTGCCACATAGAATGCCTATGATAAACTATGGCTCAATACCCTGATATTTATTACTTGCATCCACTGAAGTTGTTCACTCATAACCAGTACTGCTGACACCAACATCACAAATTTCTGCAATGTCATCTCTTTAATGTACAGTGTTCAAATTGCAAACTGGAGATTAGCACAGCAATGTAAACGAACTCAGGTTCAACCCTTTGAGAGTTTTCACTGTAAAACATGAACCTTGTTCCATCATTTCTTTTTGTTAGCATGTGCTGCTACAATTCGAGAATATGCGAAATTTTTTTTTCACGTGCCGATCTTTTTTCTTCTTAGTGTTTTCCAAAGCCGCTTGGTGGGTTTCGCTTGCGCATCTGAACACGCACACGTAATGCGGCTGGTTTCAGTTTACGCCTTTGAATGGTTATCACTCTTTCTCGCACCCGCAAAGCTGATGGCTGTCTGGTTTCTATCTCTGAAAGGGTGAGCACTAGTGACTCTCTCATTCACTGCTCTCGAAAGCACGATTACATCCATTTCCTTGTGGCACTAAATAACAGAAACGTTGCCGCTGTGGCTGCATTTTTTGTTTTGGACTCTGAAAAACTAACTCCGTCTCGTTGGCGCTAAAACGAAGGATTATTATAACTTTTTCACCCTTTTGTTTCACAAACAGGCACACAACCTCACTGTTTTCTCCTGTGCGCTCACTCAACAGTTCGCTTACGCTACTGATATGCATGCCAGTTGCGCTCGTGCTAGGGAGTAGAGTGGAGATTCTTTCGATGTGTCAGATTTGATCCATTGGATTTCAGTTTGTCGGCAGAGTATTTACTTACAAGATCAGACCCTGATAATGAAGGAGCTGCATCTCAAAAGCGTGAGCAGTGAGATGATTAGGATCAGATAAGAGGTGATTATTGCCCAGTGTTTAGTGCGAGAGCAAAAACAAACAAATAAATAATTTCTTTTACTCTGATGTGCTTGCTTATGTATGTTTTGTATT